TAAAGGAAACCTATATTAACTGCAGGCCACTGGCTGAAAGAGGCAAAGGCAATTGAAGAAGACTCACATCTGTTTCATGCTTGTGTCTTACAGATTACTGCAGCAGAGATTCCACACCGATGCTCCAGGGCTTAGAAAGGCCAATCAAGCTGCTTTTGCAAGCATCTTTCATCTTACTAGGAAGGCATGCCACCAGTGATTATGATGGATGGGAACAAAGAAAGGAAGCAGAAGTTCACCCGGGACCACAGGGCCTTTCTGGCCCAGGTTCTCTTCATCTTGGTACAAAAGCTTGTCATAATTTCTCCCTTGTCTCCCATGCCAGTCACTCTCGACTTCTTGAGCCCTCTCTTCTTCCTCTGAGAATACCAACAGAATCTCCAAATTCTCCTTATGTCCTTGATCAGAGTTAGGGTTTAAAACTTACATGTCTTCCAAAGGTCCTCTTGCAAAGGGCTTGGTCCTCAGTGTGTGGCACTACTGGGAGAGGGAGGGACCTTTGAGAGGCAGGACCTAGTTAAACTAGCAAGTTACATTTGTGCCACAACCTGAGGAGGTGATGGGACCGTGGTATCTCTTCTTTGGTTCTCCAGCTGCTAGGTGGTTGCAGTAACATGTCCCTCTCATACCAGGTAATTCCTCAAGCTTAGGAAAGCTACAACCAGGGAAATAAACTAAAATTTCTTTCATTGTGAGCCCAAGTTAGTCTTGTCTTATGAAACTGATAAGCTCACCTGTTTGTTACAAAGGCAGAAGCCAAATAATGCACATTGTCATATATTCCCAACTGTCCCTGGATGTTTCTTATGGGAATTTTTACCACAAGTTTCAGTTCTGAGTTTCTGTAGTTTACTCTGAAATCTTATCAGGGCACATCTTGTTTTGTACGGTATTTCATGTTTCTTTAGATGAACATCTGCCTTTCTCCATGACTGCCATTAAAGAGTGTGGAAAACAGACTCATATTCATCAACCTAGTACTTGATGTAGAAAGCATTTCTAGAATATGTCCCAGGGAAGATATATATATATATATATATATATATATATATATATATATGAGCTGGCTCTATTAGTAATATGATGCTTTGCAAGAGAACTTTATGGAAAGATGATTGCTTTTTTCATCATGGAACAAAGTACACAACATCATGCCATGCCATGATTTTGATTTCATATTCATGAGTGCATATTTTACAGCTGTATGTGTACAAACATGTGTATATGTATATACACACATAAATGTATACACACATTTACAGAGATAAAGAGAACAACACCAAATGCCTACTTTTTGCACCTTGGAATCACACACTTTTATTATTAATGTGCTCTCTACAGTGACCATGCTACTGTTATAATGAGAGGAAATAGGGGCCAGTTAAATGGCTCAGTGGGTAAAGGTGCTTGCATCCAAGTCTGATGACTTGACATTGACTCCCAGGATCCACGTCATGGAAGGAGAAAAACAACTCCTTCAAGTTGTTCCTGACTTCCTCCTGTGTGCCATGCATGCTCCTGTTTAAATACATCAAGGATAACACCACATCTAAATATGGCAGAGAAGACTTATCTCATGGTGGGGTCAATACCCTAAGCCAGTTATACTAAAATTGATGAAATCAAGTGTTACTGATGAGTGCGTGGGATTCCTATCAAGATTTTCTAGTAGGGTATTGCTCTTAGTTTCATCAATAATGTGGGAGATAGATAGTACAAGCAATTTGACTCTAAAAGGTGGGAAGGGCGATAAGAGTTTAAAAATCCAATCCACTGAGATCACAAAACTGTGTTCTCAGGGTCCTGCTGTGTATCAGGAGAATAGGCACAAGCTACTTTGTATAAAATTCTTCCTACAGTTCCCATGGGAGTTCATCATTTCAAACCAGTGCTGTCCAGAAACGATAAAACTACTTAGGGCAGAAGAACAGTCCTTTGCCTGGATAATACTATACACCTTAATGTTTTAAATATTTTTTTTTGTGTGTGTGTGTTTGAGTATAAAATGTATGTGCAACCACAGCTACCATAGTGTGTGGAGGAAAGAGGGTAACTTTGTGGAGTCAGTTCTCTCCTTCCTTTACATGGGCTCTGGGGAATGAACTCAGCTAGCTGGGCTTGCATGTCAGCCATCTGTATCCACTGAGTCATTGCATCTTTCCTTATTTGCCTACGGCATGAAAGACCACATTAAGGAAGCTTTTGTGGGAGACCCCCTTCAAGATGGTGGACTCACTTTTCACTACATTTGTCACACAAATGAGATGCCTGCTCCAGACTCTGGTACCTCTTTATCTAGAAAGGAGACAGTTGTGGACACTTCAGGCTGTTGGGGGCTGTGAACTCAGACCCTGAATTTCCTGTAAACAACTTGTTATGCTTGCAGCTGCTCTGAGCAGAACAACGTGTCTTTCCTGTGTTTGTAGCTACTCTGAGCATGAGATCCTCAGGAGTTCCTGATGGCAGGGGATTGGTGTCTGGTGAGTTTGGCTGGGCATGGCTATCAGTTAAGGATCCATATATAAGTGGTTCTGGCAGACAATAAAGGGGGCATTCTTGTTTCAAGGATGACCCATGTCTCTGTTTGTGTGCCTTTGTGTGTTTAAATCTCCAGGCCTTTGCCAGGCTCACAAATGGTTCTGTAGTGCAGGCTCTACATGTAGTAGTACAGACAGTACATCAGGCTAAAAGCCAAGGTGGGAATTTTGGCTTTGTCACTTATAAGGTTGAACTGAGTGGGTTTCTTCATATGAAAAATAGTTAGGAGTATTTTTTATAATTACTGGAAGATTCCACGTGACCACAAAGTCAGGAGATCACTATATGGAATTTACTTTTATTTCTATGTCCACTCACTTTATTTTTCTTTTCATTACTTTCTCCCAACCCTGTAGCTCCAGTTTCTCCCATTTCTTCTTACGCAGTTAGTGTCACAAACCGTTGAGTGATATTTGATCTTTCCCTAATGGCTTATGTTGACTTACAGTCATCCCCCATGTCTTCAGGGAATGGTTCTAGGACGCAGCAGACACTGAACTCCTCAGGGATTTTTCTGCCCTATGAAATGGCTCAGGATTTGCACAAAGCAGTGCACATTCTCTCATGTACTTGAGTCTTCAGGTGTTCAGTATGCATGCAACATTTTAGAATTCCACATTGACCCTCCTCATCCAAAATGCTAAACAAAGCTGGTTTTGGTCAAAGTTAGAAAGTAATTTGAGCACTGAAAGAATGCTCAAACTTTTTTTTAAAGTGGTGCATTTGGGTTATGGGTGATCGTTCATTGAAAAAACAACAACAACAACAACAAAAAACCCCAAAACTAAAAACAAAACAAAACAACAACAAAAACCTGAAACACTGTGATGTGATCTGGTGTTAAACATTTTGGACAAGGGACACTGAACCTAACCTGTAGTTCTGATCCAGGGTTTGTTGAAGATGTAGAATAAATGGATTTGGAGGGCTGAGTATCCTAAGTTAGGCCCTCTACTGGCCTCTCTGCGGGACGCTGCTGTCTTCAGTGCCACGGTTCCTGCTTCAGGCACCCAGATATGCTTGAATTAACTCATAGACCATTATGCAGTTGAAAACTATACACTTTAGTCATGTACTTTAAGTTCCCAGTTCTGTCTCTTATAAGCTCTTGGGTTTCAGAGCAGTTGCTCCACTCTGAGGCACATTCACAAATGCTTATATTAGAGGACATGGAATTTAAGTAAAGGAGATGTGTAATTCCTTGCAGATATCTAGAAAGAAAGTAGATTATTCTCATGTTGTTTTCTTTGCTGAGTTGTTGCAATAAATTATACATTCTTGTCCACTAAGACAGGGTCTTTAGTTTCCTAGTGCTCATTATGTCTTTGTCTATTAGTGAGATGGGCTAATATGCACTGGAGGATTCAAATGCCACCTTTTAAGATATCAGCTTATAAGGAGTCTTATAAGAACTCTCCTCGGTGTAATCAGATCATCTCTTCTTGGCCACTGGTTCTGTTTTTACCTATATGCTTCATCTGCCACTCAATAGATGTTCCTCTTGCCACCTGGGTACTGTCAAAGAGAGAAAAATTGCAAGCGAACCCTGACACGGTCAGCTTGTCTGTCTGCTGCATACCTGCAGAAGTCTTGCCATGGACTGTAAATTGGAAAGAATAGTGTGCAATTTACCTGGGTGTTCTCAGAATCCATGTTTCAGGAAGGTCCCTGAAATACACTTGTGGTAGACTTTATATGAATAATGCCAAGTCTGAGAAGTTCTATGAGACAAGAAACTCACTTAGATCGGTAAAGTTCTGCTGAAATCCCAAGGGTAAAAACATCATTATTTACCCTTCCATCCCCTTATTTCTTAACACCATGACTTCTAGTACTAAGAGAAGCTGGTGTGTGTGTGTGTGTGTGTGTGTGTGTGTGTGTGTGTGTTTTGGAGACAGTGCTAGTTGTAAGGGAATAACATGTACCCATTAAAGTTGTCAAGCTACCTACAGGTTCTAGGTTAAAGTCATTGAGATTTCTGAATGGTGATACTAAATCTTGGATATAGAAAATCCTTCTCTTGGGGCTGGAGAGATGGCTCAGGACTGACAGGTATGTACTGCTCTTTCAGAGGACTTTAAATTCCCATTATCTATATGGAGGGGGGTTAATGACCACTTTTAATTTCGGTTCCAGTCCCCTTCTGACCTCCACAGGTACTAGAGCACACACACGAGAGAGAGAGAGAGAGAGAGAGAGAGAGAGAGAGAGAGAGAGAGAGAGGGAGAGAGAGAGAGAGCCTTTTCTCTCTCTTTTTTTAATTTTGCAAAGATTAATTTGCAAACAGGTTGAGATAGAAATGAGATGAGAAAGCATTTTCCAGTTGTATCTCGACTATATCAGAAGTCAAATTTCCATCTCAGTGCACAAAAAAGGCAGAAAGTATGGTTCTCCCAGCAGTATCAGAAACACAAAGGGCTTTTATTCCCCCAGGGGTGAAAACAGTAAGGAAGAAAGGAAAATTCTTGGGAAAATAAATGCTAAGACAGAAAGCAAACGCCACAATGGTGATGTCTTCAGAAAGCAACTGAAAAAAGTGGACTTGGGTCCTATTTGCCAAGGACTGGTCAACGATTCCTTTGTGCTTTGCAAAGACAAAGTAGAAACAGTGATATCAAACACAATGTCTCTTTTTTTATTCATAGCTCCAGTTTTCTTTGTTATTAATTAAATGAGCAAATTAAGGAATGCCCATTTTAAGACACTGCTCCAAAAATAGCCCCATAGAATCAGGTCAGAGGACAACAAGAAGCAAAAGGGAAAATGTGAGACAAGAATATGACCTACAGCAGCCATCTCACAAGTAAAATGGAGAGGACCTCCTTTGTCTGTGAGGATCTAGCTGGATGTTCCATTTAACTGGCTCCCTAACTTCTCAAACAAGGCAGAGATGAGTAAATCCTTGACTCAAAAAAGAGAACTTCTGTCATCTTGCTTTCCATCATGAAAAAAAGCAACCCAATAACATGGTCAGGATAAAATAAGTTTTAGTAAATTTTCAAGTTCACTTACAAGAAGTAATTGCCCAAAACTGGTCTGGGAAATGATATCCTTCGAATAAACATTTGGATTCCCTTGTGCCTGTTCTGTATTCAGAATGGAAGAATGGTTGAGCTGTCTTTTCAAATCCATGTTCTGTGCCAGCTCTAAGCATGGCTTTATGGGTAAATGAAGTCTTCTTGCAAAAGCGGACAGCCCTAGGCCTTCTGTTTTGTTGATGACATGCCTTGTGACTTCAAAATGTATAGGTACATGATCTGTTTCTCAGCAGATGTCTGAAGACAAGAATGTCCATGGTTGCAGACAGAGCACCTTCACTTCTGTCCCACGTGTACTTGGTAGTAAAACAATGCAAGATGCTTTGCTAGTCCTCTCGTTTGCATTTGTTCTAAATCTTATTCCAGATAAATGGGAATTTGAGGATGTCCTGCAAGTTTGAAGCAAGAATATACAAGGTAAGAGCTGTAAGATCACCACTGGACCTAGAGAACTGACAGATGATGGAGGAGGCTGCCTGAAAGGACTCACCTTTCCTGTGCCCTTTGCTTTTCTCATCAGCAAATGAAGCCTTGGAAAAATGATTTTTCATTATGATACTGGCCCTATTTTGGTTGCAGTTTGCCTGCAGAATCTAGAATTCTCTCCCCACTCCTCTTTGGGCTGGGGATGAAAAGGATGGTTTTCTGATGGGTGATTCACAAAACAAAACATTTGACTATGAACGTCCTCTCATTTCCCATCTCATCTGGAATTTCTATTTGTTCCTTTATCCTTTTTTTTCTTCTAACCTGGCACCTGCTTCCTCTTAGTCCTTTTCTAACATCCCATCATTCCATAGTGGCAACTGTCATCTGGAAAAGCTAGCCTTCCTTCCTTCCTTCCTTCCTTCCTTCCTTCCTTCCTTCCTTCCTTCCCTCTGCATTATCAATGAGGGTTTTCAGGTAGGTCTTCTGTTGTCTGCCTGTACTTTTCAGTCTGCTCCCTCTAAATGGTCACAGAACTCTGCAAAACTAACTCCTCCCATTTTGAACTTCACATATGTAATTCCTGTGTAATCTTGAAATTGTTAATTGAGATAAACTGTGTGTAATATTTTGATGACAATGGCCAACCTTAAGAAATCACTCTGCCTTCCTTCCGTCAATTGTCTGTTTCAGCAGACATCTCCATGGCAGTATACACCCTATAAACATATAGATAGCTGTTGAAAGCAGTACTATAAAAGTTTTGAACATTCCTTAGCTCTGTGTTTTAGCCTTTGATGATGAATGTGCATACTGTAAAATAAAGATAATGGTACATCCATTGTGTAATTATGCCAGTGTTAGAGTAGTATGTGGTTTTGTTTTCTCTTTATATGAATACCTCCTCCATCCGGTTTTAGTCAGCAATATTGAAAATATGAAAATGCTATTCATTAGAATGTCCATTAATTTGTTTTTTCTAATGCATTTGTTTATTTTATATACATGTGAGTGTGGTACATGTGTGTGTGTGTGCATACATGGAGCATGTGTAGAGGTGAGACAACAAATTAAAGTCAATTCTTTCCTTCCATAACATGGAATGGGATTCTGATCAGGTTTGGTAGTAGGCACCTTTACTCACTGGGCCATCTTACTGGTCCAGAATGTCTTAGTTAAAATGGATACCTTTCTCTTTACAAAAAGAACTCAAAAGATTTTACGGCCTGACTGTAAAAGATAGCATGCACATATATACTTTGGTTGTCGACTCCATTGGTGTGAAAGATATTACCTCTGCAACTAGCAAGAACTATAAATGATACATTATCGCAAGTGTTCTAAAAAATCAGAACAAACTAATTTATTGTACTTCTGTCTTCATTATACACCAAGTTGGTGAGTTAAACACAACAAAATTATCTTTTCTTTTTTAAAAGTGTCTACTAAAGATAAAAAGAATATAGTAACAATTAACATGTTGTTCATTACATTAGAAAATCTGATATACATATTTCTATTGCCTGTTAGCTTGTTCTAAGCCTCTTCAACTATTACAAAAGAAAGAGGAAGAAAAGGAAAGTGGTTGCTGAAAGGCAAACATTCAATTCAGTTGATACAACATTACAGTACAGCCAACTACCATCATTCAACAAAGTAGCAAGTTTAGTCTTAGCTTGAGTTAAAAGTCTGTAGACCAGGTTGCTACGGAGGATTTAATGCTGCTTCTATACCATATGTTAGCTTTTGAGAGGACACAGTTCTTTGTATTGATGGCTTCAGAAGAAGGGGTCAAGCACTGAGGAGCCCCCACCTGGCATTTATCATTTTATTGAGCGTTGTAGTTAAGACAGCATTATTGAGTTTAGCACATCAACTAAACTAAAATAAAATAATAATAATATAATAATATAATAATCATAATAATGATAAGGATAAAAACCAAACACAAACTGGAAGCTGAGAGCCACTACCAGCCGTGTCCAACCCTTGCGATACGCTATACTAAAAAACTTTGAAATATCCACCCATCCTCTCCACTCTGCCACAAACTAGCAAAGTCAAAAGTACAAAAGTCTTCACCTTGTTATTTTTGCAGAATAAAGCAAAAATGTCTTTGTGCTCCTTACTACCAGAAGCAAAATGCCCACTGAGTTACCACATATAATAGCTTCTGGATGTGTCGACCTGGGTTGGCTTGGTGTCTGCTGAGCCCTCTTTATCCTTCTCGCTGTCAGCTTCCCAGAGGTTAATGAGCGGGGGGTACAGCTCATTCAGTGGGATGGAAGAGGTTTTTTGCATATACTTTTTTAGTGAATGGTGGTAATTTTTCCTCTTAAACCGTTTGGCAATGTACACAGCGATGGACGCGAGGCTGATGACGGCAAACATAGACCCCATCACTGCAGCCAGGGCTGTGCTGGTTTCATGGTCGGAGATGTCCAGGGTGAAAGCAGCGTTTTTGGTTGTGACATTGACACATGACCTTTGGGTCTGCTGGTGGATGTTGGACACCGTGAGACACACTTCATAATCCGTAGAAGGCTGCAGATGTGTTAGGTTATATTCATGGACATCTACCGGAACCCTGGCGGTGTATGTTATGTGGGGGTTGTCAATCTTCATAGTGGCAGATGACCATTTTAAGTTTGATGTCATGACATTGGAATTAACTTTCCAGGACACCAAAATGGAATGCGATTCTGTCTGTTTGACGTATATTTTCAGCACCTGGGCACCATCTAGAAGGGTTCCATTAACCTTGATGGCTGCCACTCGAGTGTCAGCCCCTTGGACATTCTGGGCAACACAGGTGTACCTTCCCGAGTCTTCAATCTGGATATTTGCTATTTCCAAGGTGCCCTCGTTACTCAGCTTGTATTTATCTGAAAGCGTCTCCACGGTTACCTTATTTCCAATGGGAGTGACCCAGTAGATTTCTGGCTCTGGCTCAGCCATGGCCCGACAGTCTAGGAAGACTGTTGTGCCGACGTCCATGTTTAAATGATTTGGGAATGTGTCGTGTGATATCATCGGGAGGCACTGTTCACTGGAGTCCTGGATTAACACCTCTTTCACCTGCTGCCCTCTGTACTCAGGCGGCATGGCGCAGAACATAGAGAGGGGCTCCATGAAGCGGATGTTGGTTTTGTTGGAGTTAATCCAGTGGATGACACAGTCACACCTCAGGGGATTGCTGTGGATGCTGATCTCACGTAGGTTGGGAAGAGACTCTACTGTCTTTTGGTAAACAGCATTCAAGGCATTGTTGTTCAACATCAAGCTTTCTAGAGCCGGGACACTTCGAAAAGCCAAACGGTGGATGTAGGACAGCTTGGGGTTGTTGGTTGCTTCTAGCTTTGTCAGTTCCGGCAAATTATCCAGGGCATAGCGGTCTACAGAAACCAGCTCTCCCATGTTGTTGATTCCCAGTTCTTTCAACCGAAGCATATTTTTAAAGTCCCCTTCTTGGATTTTATGAATGGGATTTTTATTGAGGTCTAAGAATTTCAAATTTGGAACTTTCTGCAGAGCAAGTTGTGGGACTTTGATCAGTTTATTGTCGTAGAAAGACAGGCTCTCAAGGCTATCCAAGCCTACCAAAGCATTTCCGGGAACATCAGTGAGGTACATCCCTGCCAAAACTAGGCTTCTCAAGTTAGAGAGAGGTCTGAAGTTCATGTCCAGGATTCCAATCACAGGGTTTTCCCCAATCATGAGAATTTCCAGGTTGGGTGTAGAATCAAACCAGCGGCTATCAATCACTTTCAGTTTATTGGAATTCAAGTGCAGCCTAAGGAGATTTTTTAAGCCAGAAAAAGCATTAGCTGAGATTGTACTGATCTGGTTGTGGTTGATGTAGAGTTCTTGAAGGTTGCTGAGGTCTTGCAGACAGTAATCTGTCATCTCTGAAATCTGATTTTCCTCTAGATGTAGGGTTGTGAGCTGGGTCAAGTTTGCCAGCCCCACCTCTTTGATGTTTGTGAAGTTGTTCTGGGAGAAATCCAGCTCGGTCAAGTTGAAAAGCTGTTGCAGCTCATCCACCGTCTTGGCGATGTTATTGCTCTGTAAGAGAAGCACTTGTGTGTCACTGGAAAGGTTGCCAGGGATCCTTGTTAGACGGAGATCATTGCAATCAACAGTAGTAGCTTCTCTGTATGTGGATTGCGGGGTAAACCAAGGTCGAATTTCACATACACAAAGCTGGGGACACTCACTATTCAGTATGGAAGACTCAGTGAAAGAAGCCATCAGCAAGCCCAGCACCAATCGACAAGCTGCTATCCCAACGCTCCATCTGGCCATGGTGGCTTGCGGAACACACTCAGTTCCTGATCAAGATCTGAGCACTATTTAGTGGTAAGGAGAACAGCAAGCAGATAGTGTAAACATCCAAGCTAGTCTCGGTTGAACAGAATTCCAGAGTCTGAAATGATGGTTTTCTGAACTTCCCAAGAGGCACAAAGCAATCTGAAATCCCTTAACCGTGTCACTCAATTCCAGGCATGCTCACAGATCCTTGTTGGAGCTACTTCGACCAAGTCTGGAGACGTGTCTGAAAATTAAATCAGGGAAGATGTTATGCTTATTCTGTACACTCTCTATTGTTTACTACAATGGTATAATGACTCACACAGCTGAAAAATGTGTTCAGAATATACTCAGAGTATCCAAGCAGACTTTGAGTCTTATGATGCTCTTATTATAGTCCACTTGCTACACTGACACTGTCTAGAACTCCTTTAGTTTTTTAATTAGAACTGCACATAGACCGGCATAGTTATTAAACACACATGCATACTCTAGAAAATCCTAAAAATGACATTTATTTAAAAACAAAGTTTACTTTAGAAACTGCATGTTTATGCTTCTTAAAAGGTACATGCAGTCAAATGCTCTACCATCGAGCTATCAGGATGGCCCAGTTGTGGGAGAAGATGGAGAGGGAGAGCAATGAAAGAGATAACTTGATAGAGGGGGGCATTATGGGGTTAGGGAGAAACCTGGTGCTGGGGAAAGTCCCAGGAAACCACAAGGATGATCCCAGCTAAGACTCCTGCCAATAGTGGAGAGGGTGCCTGAACTGGTCTTCTCCTGCAATCAGATTGGTGACTATCATAACTGTCATCACATAACCTTCACCCTGAAGAAAACAGATGCAGAGATCCATGGACAAGCACTGGGCTGACCTCTGGGAGTCCAATTGAAGAGTGGGAGGAACGACTATATGAGGAAGGGTGGTCAAGATCATGACAGGGAAATCCAATGAGACAGCTGGCCTGAGCTCATAGGAGCTCACAGACTCTAGACCAACAGCTAGGGAGCCTGCATGGGATTGACCTAGGCCCTCTGCATGTGGGTGACAGCTGTGTAGCCTGGTCTGCTTATGGGGCTCCTAGCATTAGGATCTGTCCCTGGTACATAAGCTGGCCTTTTGGAAGCTATTCCCTATGGTGGGATGCTTTGCTCAGCCTTGATACAGGGGGGAAGAGCTTGGTCCTGCCCCAATTTGATATGCCATGCTTTGTTGACTTCCATGGGATGCCTTACCCTTTCTGAGTAGTGGATGTGGGGGGCAGGTAGAAAGGAGGTAAGGGGGGAAATGGGGGGAAAGAAGGGAGAAGAAAACTATGATTAATATGTAAAATAAAATTTAAAATATAATAAAAATAAAATCAAATTAAAAAATAAAAAAGATACTCTTAATAAAAGCAAAACATGGGCAGTACTTCACAAAGACTCAGTACATCTTAAATTATCTGTGGTATTTTCATTAGCATGACATTTGTTTTCAGGGATTCTTTCTATTCAAAATGCTGCATTCTGTAGAAATTTCCAGCCATAGTGTTTCAAGCTCAATCACTTCTATGAAAGAAGTCAATTTAACAAATCTATAGAAGGAAAATATCAGCTTTTCCTATATTCTAATAGTCATATGATTTTGGCTGAATAAAGTAATGATTGTTCTGCTTCACTACAAGTCTTTATTTAAAACACAAATATATTCAACACCTGCATATGGAAACATGTCTCAGGCAAGAAACAAGAGTTGTGTGGTACAACATTGGCCTATCTATATGCACAAGACTCTAACTTCAATCCCTTGGTCTGAAAAAGAAAATGTGTATATACTTAACATCTATGTTTTCATTACACTTCTTTGAATATTACAGGCTACTTAACAGCCACAGTCCATGGGTATGTTGTATCATCTCTCAATTTCTTCAAATTACAAAATAGGGTTGTTCATAAATGTTTCTTACAGTATTATTGAAGAATTTAATCTATGTTAAAAACAAGCCTCAAGAATCTATATAAAACTCTGTATACAGTGTTTGGCACATATCAAATGCTCATAAAAGTTGTGTTTTCCATCTACTCTCATGTTACTGTGTTTCTACATATTGTAGTCTTTGCTCAGCAGTAGTTCTCAGAGGACAAATGGCCGATCCTATTGACTTAAGTATTTATTTTAACAAGATGCCACATAGATTAAAAAAAAAAAAAGGTAACATGTATGTCTTGCTAGGTTATATAATACCAGCAGTTACTAGTTCTAGTGTTCTGAATTCCAACCAGGTATAAAGAACCATTATACATCTAACTGGAATTAATCTTGCTTTCCTAAGAACAGACTGGGCATTTGCTAACACACTTAACTATACTTACATATTTTCTGCATAACAGAACAATGCACGTCAACCTTGAGTACTGAAGAACTCAGTGACTGGTTTTTCTAGAAACATTCACTAAGAACAGTGTCCATAACACCAGTGTTCAAAACACAGCAAGCTCTCACTTTATGTCCACACTTTTTATTATCTTTTTACTTTGTAAATCATATGCTTGCCTTTGATCAAAATCCATGATAACACAAGGAGCCAATGCAACAGTTGAGTCATATGTTAGCAGAAACCTTTAAAAGACCCTAAACCTGTTTGGTTGTTTTATTAACTATGAAAGTCTTGTCACTAGTCTCACAAAATAAAATTATGTCCTACTGTGACAAGTCTGAGGTGAAATGAATTTGTGTGGCTTTGATGCTAGAAGCTTGCTGGTCTATGAAAAAAATATGTTTGGCATTGTTCTTGCCTTCACCGCCGAATCTGGTTACTCTGTCATTTATTATGTGTTTAATAATGTTTCAAGAGTATTAAACCACCTGATTTTGATGTTTATTGATAAATTCTGTAACATGCAAACATGCAGAATAATGTTATTTAAATATCATTAACTCCACGTTTTTCCTATGTTTGTTTCTGTTTAGATCAATTTCAAAGCTAGTTCAAGGGAATTAAAAACTTCAAAAACATTCTGCCGGAGTTCACTCCTCAGTCTTAATTCATATTATAAAGCCAAGTGTCTAAATGTACCTTTAAGAACTCTAAGATGGAATTACAGCAGACTTTTATGTATTAATTGAGTTAAAATATATTAAGAAGCAAAGTATGCATTAAACTTGTTTGAGAAATGCCACAAATAGTGTATTACTATTGATAGGATAACTTTAATGGATCTATGGTCTCACTGGTGTTATGAAAAATACAACATTTAGCTTAAATTATAGGATGAGACAATTATATTGAAGACTTTGAGTTTGTCTTTGCATATACACAGCCTCAACCATCTGACTGATCGTGAACCTCAGGAAACAGAAGGTCAGATTTCATATCAAATATCTACCAACCCTGAATCTGGCTCTTTTGGAAGCAGAGAAAGAAACTCCTAGAAGACAAAGGATGAATGTAAGACATACAGACCAATGGGACACTGAACTCAGAAATAAAGGAAAGTCATTTCTGACAAAGACTGCACAGCTGAAAAAGCACAGATCACATTGGTAGAACTGGATAGATAGCCACATGGGGAGAATGAGGCAGTGTCCTTACCTTACATCATCTACAAAGATTAACTCAAATCACAGTGAGAACCTAAGTGGCACACACAAAATAATGAAGTTCCATGAAGAAAGTAAAGAGGGAAAATTTCAATTTCGGGTTTCACAGTTATTTGTTAGACACGACACCAAAAGCTCTGGTATAAAAGCAAACATAGACAAGTAGGATAATTTCACATGTACAGCCTTCTGTGCATGAAAAGAAATGAAATAAAATACAAAGGCAGCCTAAAGCATGTGAGAAAATATTTTGGAGTTATAAATTGGGAAAAAGTTAAAAATCAGTATTAGTAAGTCCAACAATTGAATAACAGCAGTAAGAACAAAATAAAATAAAACAAAACAAAACCATAACTGAACAAATGCTGGACAAAGGACTAAAAAAAAAAAAACAGAGAGTTCTTTGAATATATTCAAGGGACCAATAAACAATGAAAACACCCCAGCTTAACATCATTGGTCATAAGATAAATATAGATGATATTTGAGAGTATATATTATGGATTTGTTATGAGAAGAGATAATAACTCATTATCGTCATTAGAATGGTCTGTACCAAAAAATAGAAAACAAGAAACGATGGTAAATACAGAGAAATCGAAACCCTTATGCCTTGGTGAGGATGTATAATAGGGTGGCCATTACAGAAAACAATGTAGGAGGTTCTCAATAAAGTGTAAGCACAATATAAAATTCTCAGGAATACAACTTGCTTTCAGTATCTATGGGTTTCACACCCTGACTCAATCAACCTGGGATGCAAAGTATTCAAGAAAAAAAATGTGTCTGTATTGAAGTACAAATGCTTGATATTATTTACACAAAATTACATAGTATTTTCATAGAATTTAAACCAAATTGGTATTGTAAGCAATCTAGAGATAGTTTAATGTATTCCTCACAGGAAGGTATGTACAAAAATTATAGGTAAATACTCATACTCTATCATTTTATGTTAGGCATACCCTGGGTAGGTGATCCTGACTAGAGTATTTTCTCTGAATTTGTCAAATGCAAAAGGACTAAACATTGTTGATGTATTTATTGCCTATATATATTGTATACAGTCTTGTACTTAATTATATTTAGTTTTTCTTATATTGTTTGTAGCCCTTTTATTTTAGACAAAAATGGAAATATGGTGGTATGTTATTTGTATTTTAATAAATAAATCTTGCCTGAAGATCAGAGGCAAAGCCACTAGAGGTCAGGTAATGGTGACACACACCTTTAATCTCAGGATTTGGGAAACAGAGGCAGATAGATCTCTGGAGTTCAAGACCACCCTGGGCTACATAAGATCAATGCAGAAACAAATCCATGTGGTGGTGGCTCACACCTTTTATCCCAGTACTAGCGATTCACACTTTTAATCCCAGCACTAGAGAGAACATAAAATGAGAGGAAAGACTTAGTCTGCTTAGTCTATGGTCGCCCAACTGTAGTAATAAGGGCGGCGGGGCTGCCTGGCTAGCTTGTGCCCGAAATAACAACACACAAACTGTATTCATTTAAACACCACTTGGCCCTTCAGCTCTAGCCCTTACTGGCTAATTCTGATATCCCGATCAACCCATCTCTAATAATCTGTGAGCACCGGTCTTACCGAGAAGATTCTAGGTCCATCCTGGGTCGGAGCTGAATCGTGTCTGCCCGGG